CTCTCCTTCACCCTCACATGCGCCGAGCACACCAGCTCTCCCCTCCCCACTTGGAGTCTCAGAAACAGCCCTCCCCTTGGCTGAGAGTCCGGCCAATCACAGCGGAGGAGAGCTTTTGGTGGGAAGATTTGCTGTCTGTTTCCAAAAAGGAAAAGAAGGACAGGTGGAGATATCTTCAGCATTCTCTGCCATAGGGTATCCTAAAACCATGGTATCTGATGGTCTTTGGCAATCCCTCTGAAACCCTTTCATGATCCCCCAGGGGTCCCGACCCCCAGGTTGAGAAACACTGATCTAAAGGGAAGCAATTTTTCAGGCACTAAAAATTTGCTTTGGGGATGTGAGTATGGTTTCTGAACTTTCCCAGTTCAAAAAACCAATGGTAGTATTAGTGACTTAGCCTTTTCATGCCCTCTGTCTGTGCAACCCTTATAGTTTATACGGATGTTCCATAAAGTCAGTTTGTACCATGCAAACCAGAAAGTGTTATTAAGTATTTTGATCAAAACGACCTATGTATCATTTTCTCTTTCTTTTTGAACCCTTTCACTTTCCCATATTAAAATTACTTGAGTGCAACCAGTACTTGGTGCTAAAAGCACAAAGCTTTTACTGCTGCTTCACAAAAGATTTCAGAAATTGATATTATTAGGAGTTGCTAGATTATTAGGAGTTGCTAGATTTTTCTACCTACGCGTATGAAATGAGCTAGTGCTTAGAGTTCCAACCATCTGGTCTCTTTCTGATCCTTGTGATCCTGAATTAAGCAACCTTATTAAAAGCAGTGTGATTGTTATTTGGTAGAAGTGTTTGAGGAATGGAGATGGAGTAATACAGCTGACGTGAGTGGGCGAAAATTGGACACATATACAGTCACATACGCACTTACTTATGCATCTTTCTGCCTCTCAAATTGAAGTGAGTGGAATTATCTTTGAGCAAGCTATTTTGAAAGGTTTATGGCCTGTGCTTTGGCACGTTGCTATGAAATGCTTCCATCCATGTGCATCATTTGTAGAACTATCTGGATCAGTGCAAAACATTTCAGTGGAAAAGCTCTGCTTCCCAGGTGGCCCTATAGCAGCTGCTGCTATTTGACAAATAAGAAAAGTAATTTTGTCTGGAGGAAAGATGTTGATACTAAGTCCTTGTTGCACTGGCTTTCAGAATTGTAGTGTTACACTTTTTTGCTCAGATCTTTGGGTCCTTTGAACTTTTAGTGGCTGGTTATAACATTTGGAATGAGTAGGACATTGGGTACACAGCGAACAAAAAGCAAATGCACAAAAAGCCCTTCACACTTTGTGGTTTTCTATTTATTATTTATTTATTTATTTGCTTTATTTCTATACCGCGTTTCTCAACCTATAATAGGTGACTCAATGCGGTTTACACAATATTAATTACCACAACAGATTTGATTATTCACAGATTACATTAATATGTTTTCTCTTAAGAATCTTTAGGTCTTCAAGTATAATTACATTGTCAGTTTCCATCATAAGGTTGCACTGAGTCTATAGATTCCCAGAGAAAATGCCTCTCTAGACGTTTATAGATCTGGCGTGATTCTGTGGTCAACTTCCAAAAGATGTTGCTTCTTGTAAATAATGTGGGGGTTTTTTTTGGAGGGGGGGATTCTGAGCCCCTAACCCCAGAATAAATGGAGGGTTTCATATAAATGTTTTTCACTTCTATTACTGTTTCTCTCTGGGATTGCCTTTTCAAGTGGTAAACATCTAGAATTCCCTGAAGAAAAGTCTCTTAGAGCTTGCTAGAATTACTTCAGTTAATGACGAATTCTTTCTGGGAGACAGGTGTAGTTAGTTTGTAGATTTTAACAATAATTTCTTGTAAGACCAATCCTAGTCCCAAACTGGGAAAAAGCAGGATGCTGATGCTGACAGCAACAACAGCTATCATTTCAACTCTCTCTCCGTATGAACCATTTAGGAATTTAAGATCGGCCGGGGGGGGGGGCCCTACTCTCAGTCTCACCCCCTTCACAGGCGCATCTGGCAGGGACGAGGGACAGGGCCTTCTCAGGGGTGGCCCCTCGGCTGTGGAATTCCCTCTCTAGGGATATTAGATCAGCCCCCTCCCACCTAACCTTCCGAAAAAAAGTAAAATCCTGGCTCTTTGAACAAGCCTTTAGAAATGCAGTGCAATAAACAAACACTGAATTATGTAAGTTTGAAACATGGAACAGCTTAGACAATGCTATTCGAAAGTGAGATTAACAGGAAGACATTGGTTATTATATGTTTTTAATTGTTTCTGTATTGTATTGATTTTATGTTGATTTTAAATGCTGTTTTAAATGTTTTAATCGAGCTAATCCGGCTTCTTGGTTTACCGAGGAGCTGGCAGCAATGAAGCGAAAGAAGAGGTGGCTAGAGCGCGTGTGGCGCAAAAACCCGACTAAATCAACCCAAACACATCTGAATGCCTTTTTAAGGTCCTACGGTGTGGCAATAGAGGCAGCACAAAAAACATCTTTTGCTGCCAATATTGCATCTGCGAAGAATCGTCCAGCTGAGCTCTTTCGAGTTGTCAGGGGTCTGTTAAATCCGCCAAAAAGCGAGATCCCGGACAGCTCGGGAGCTCACTGTGAAGCGTTTGCTCGATTTTTCGCAGATAAAATTGGGCGGATTCGGGCGGGTTTCGACGCCACTTTATCTGCAGTCTCTGAGAATGTAACGAGAGCATCTGCTTGTCAGGTTTTGTTGGATTCTTTTCAATTGGTTCAGCTTGAGGATGTGGACAGGATCCTTGGAGAGGTGCGGCCTACCACATGCATCCTAGACCCCTGCCCATCCTGGCTGATAAAAGAAGCCAGAGGGGGTTTGGCAGAGTGGGTGAAGGTGGTGGTTAATGCCTCCTTACAGGAGGGCAAGATTCCAGCGAGCTTAAAACAAGCTATTATCAAACCGCTGTTGAAAAAACCATCACTGGACCCCACTCAATTAGACAACTATCGGCCAGTTTCCAATCTCCCCTATTTGGGCAAAGTCCTGGAACGTGTGGTGGCAGCTCAACTCCAGGGATTTCTGGTAGACACTGATTATCTTGATCCGGCACAGTCTGGCTTTAGACCGGGATATGGCACTGATTATCTTGATCCGGCACAGTCTGGCTTTAGGCCGGGACATGGAACGGAAACAGCCTTGGTCGCCTTGGTAGATGATCTGCGCAGGGAACTGGACAGGGGGAGTGTGTCCCTGTTAGTTCTGCTGGACCTCTCAGCGGCCTTCGATACCGTCGATCACGGTATCCTTCTGGGACGCCTCTCGGAAATGGGACTTGGGGGTACTGCTCTGCAGTGGCTCCGGTCATTTCTTGAGGGACGGTCCCAGAAGGTGTTACTGGGTGACACCTGTTCGGCTCCACAACCATTGTCGTGTGGAGTCCCTCAGGGATCTATCCTGTCCCCAATGTTGTTTAACATCTACATGAAGCCGCTGGGGGAGATCATTCGGAGTTTCGGACTGCGGTGTTATCTCTATGCGGATGATGTCCAGATCTGTCACTCCTTTCCACCTGTCACCAAGGAGGCTGTCCAGACCTTGAATCGGTGTTTAGCTGCTGTGTCGGACTGGATGAGAGCTAACAAATTGAAATTGAATCCAGACAAGACAGAGGTCCTACTGGTCAGTCGTAAGGCCGAACAGGGCATAGGGTTACAGCCTGTGTTAGACGGGGTTACACTCCCCCTGAAGATGCAGGTTCGCAGCTTGGGAGTGATCCTGGACTCATCGCTGAGCCTGGAACCCCAGGTCTCAGCGGTGGCCGGGAGAGCTTTTGCACAATTAAAACTTGTGCGCCAGTTGCGCCCGTACCTTGGGAAGTCGGATCTGGCCACGGTGGTCCACGCTCTTGTTACATCCCGAATAGACTACTGCAACGCACTCTACATGGGGTTGCCCTTGAAGACTGTTCGGAAACTTCAACTAGTCCAGCGAGCGGCAGCCAGATTGCTCACCGGAGCGACATACAGGGAGCATACCACCCCCCTGCTGTGCCAGCTCCACTGGCTGCCGGTTCAGTTCCGAGCACAATTCAAGGTGCTGGTTTTGACCTACAAAACCCTGTACGGTTCTGGTCCAGCGTATCTGTCCGAACGTATCTCCCTCTACGTCCCACCACGGAATTTAAGATCATCTGAGGGGGCTCTGCTCTCGACCCCACCTCTATCCCAAGTGAGGCTGGTGGGGTCGAGGAGCAGGGCCTTCTCAGTGGTGGCCCCCCACCTGTGGAATTCACTCCCAGGGGATATCAGAACAGCACCAACCCTCCTCTCCTTTAGGAGGAGGGTGAAGACATGGCTGTGGAACCAGGCTTTTGGGCAACCAGGCAATTAGATAAGACAACCAAATAAGACAATCAGATGTGTAAGATCAGCAGGATTGTCGAAATGGAACCAAAACAGACCCTTGAGTTAATGTACACTGATGGGTAGGAGGAAGATCTAGGTTTGTATTGTTTTATTGTTTTTATTGTTTTTATCATTTTATTGATCTTATTGGATAATGCTGAATTGTGGGAATTTGTATCGTTGTACTTTGTGATGATTGTTTTGTATGGCAGGTGTCTAAGTGCGCCTTGCAGTTGTAAGCCGCCCTGGGTCCCCTTCGGGGTGAGAAGGGCGGGGTACAAGAGCCCCAAATAAATAAATAAATAAATAGACATACTGTAAATAAATAAACTCCTTTTACTTTTTCCCATTGACTTACTCTTTTTCTCCGCTATTTAGGTCTTGCTTTTCCCAAACTAGTGAGATATGCCTGGTCTTTCTCTTTCCACTCCCCATTCCTGTCTCCATCTGTTAGAAGATGTCTTATTGTAGTTCATAATGTATTTTCACTTGGGACCACCATGTTTCATTCTTTACATCTCAACATAAAAGACTGAATATACTCTCAGGAACGTTTTATGGTTGGCTATAATAAGACCTCCTGTTGTGTTGGACTGCTGTTGATGGTGCTTGTTTATTCCAACAGTGGCTGAAATAGTAAAAGAGCTGGAAAATACTGAGAAGACTCGAGTTCAGCTTGAATCTAGTACACCTAGGGGAGAAGTAAGTAAACTTTGACTTGAAGCCTACTAAAGAAAAATATTTTCTGTTTAATAATAATAACAACAATGAATCCACAATGTGCAAAGTTGATAGTTAATCGAGAATGATTTTACCCTAATTAAGTGGAATTAATTTTACCATAAATGTGTTCAGTCTGTATCCGGGATGAGGTGATGACAGCCCTATGAACAGAAGAGTGACCCATTAAAAATAGGCTCCGCAAGGGCTGCTTAGGAAAGGTACCCCGCAAGAAATGGCAGCATTTTTCTGTTTGCCAATGACACAGTGTTATCTTTTCTGTTAGCTGGGTTGCTGTGAGTTTTCTGGGCTGTATGACCATGTTCCAGAAGCATTCTCTTCTGGCGTTCTCTCCTGAGTTCTGTTGGAAACTAGGAAAATGTGGTTTATATATCTGTGGAATGTCCAGGGTGGGAGAAAGAACTTTTGTCTGTTTGAGGTAGGTGTGAATGTTTCAATTGGCCACCTTGATTAGCATTTAATGTCCTAGCAGTTTCAAGGTCTGGCTTCTTACTGCCTGGGGAATCCTTTGTTGGGAGGTGATTAGCTGGCCCTGATTGTTTCTTGTATGGAATTCCCCTGTTTTTGAGTGCTGGTCTTTATTTACTGTTATGATTTTAGAGTTTCCAACAGACCTCACAACCTCTGAGGATGCCTGCCATAGATGCAGGCAAAATGTCAGGAGAGAATGCTTTGGGAACATGGCCATACAGCCTGGAAAACTCACAACAACCCAAGGAGAAAACAATATTTTGAAATTATGTACATCATACTAGTTTGGTGTTGTGGCTGTTGTCATATCAGAAGAACATGTTTGGGAATATAGCTCAGAATTTTTTGTACAGTATATCTTTAACTGCAGATGAACACCAGGAACGTAACACATTTTCTATATTTAAGCGAACTATTTTCTTCAGCATGGATCTTACCTCCTGTAGACCCTATAATCACTTTTTGACTTTTCTCATTTGGTTACTTTCTTTAAAATATTAACTCCCAAGTTTCCTTGGTAAATTGTATCTACTTAAAATGGGGAAACAGTCTTATTGACCTGGATAAATATTTTATCAAAACCATATATTGTTTTGTTGTACCACAGCACCCACACTTAATATATCAAACTACATTTTTCTCATTGTAAGTTGAGGGGGGTCTCTTGAAGTGCCAGCAGCTTTGCTTAGCATAGAAAAAAAGGACTTCTATTTAATTAACCCACTGAATGAATATTAAATTCTATCAGGTTCATGGATTACAGTAGGAAAAAATTTCTAAAATGCAGCTGTCAGAAAGGGAGTGTTGAGGGAAAAGGACAGACCAGCTATTTTGGGGTTTCAAGTTAATTATCTCTGAAAATCTTCGGTGTGCAGTTTCTTCTCTTTCATCTTTTCTTCATTAAAAAGTGATATTTGTACTCCTGTTGCAGAGCATGACATTTACAAAGAACCAGACGGAGAATGAAATAGATGAAATTCATAGCAATTATCGTGAGTAATACACTTATTTCATATGCATTTGGGAGGGGGAGAAAAAAACGTTCTTCACCTGTAGGTGGTAAAATACTTACACCTTCCATAACCACCATTGTTCTTGAATGCTATCAGGCCAAATGAAAGGAAGGAGAAAAGAGCATTAATGGGATTTCAGAGAGTCAAGGCTCTAAACCAGATCTCTTCTCCATCCTTCTTCAGCCCCATTTCAAAAAGATTGCAAATTGTTTTAGGAAGCAGGAGGCTCTTAGATGTTTTTGATTACTAAGAATTGGATGTGTGTGTCATGAGGAGTCTAGACAAGATGTTAAAACAAGTGGAACAATCTGGATTTTATTTATTTATTGTTTAATTGATATGATTTGTTCCCCAATTTACTGGATGGATAGTTTATTAAATTTGTTATTTTCTCTTCAAGGCCAAAGTTCAGGTTGACATTATATTCGACCCAGTGAATAATGGTTTACATTTTTCTACTTTACTGAAATATCAAATTTGAAGTATAAAGCTACCTTAATTTGGAAGGCAGGCAGAAACCATATTTCACAATTTGGATGTATAACGATGGTTTTTACTAATGAGGAGTAACTCAGATGAATCACAATGTAATGACTATGGGAGCTTGTGGACATAATATGATTGATTTATACTGTATTGAAGATATGGTCTCTTATCCCATCTCAACTGATTTTACTTGTTAAGAGTAAGTCATCATTTGTTCAATAAGTGTATAGAAACTTGAGGTTTGGAAATCAAAAGTATGCTATGTATGGTTCTTTATAGTACAATGGCTTTTAGGTGTTTTTGTGATTGAGACACTACGAGATTGCTGTGTTTCCATTTCTTCTATGTAGTACTTCAAAATCCTCAAAAGAGTGCTAAGTTATAAAACTCCACTTCCTTTGCCCCAAATCAAGCCAGCATATGTTTCCAAAAGGGTCATCTTGAGTCCCTCTAGAAGGGAGAGAGGGTGGGATATAAAGCAAAGTAAATAAATGAATAAATAAATCTTGAGTTTCTTTTAATGTTCGTCAGTCATTTTGATTTCATACTCAGTGAAAACACTGTTGTGATTTTAGTTTTTAAAAGTAATCCTTTTTCCAAAGTGGAATTTTAGGGCCAATTTTTCTTCATTATACTGTTCATTACTATTTCACAGATGTAATAGGGCATGTAACTTGACTAATAAAAGATGAGCTTCACTCAAATCCTCATGTAATGTTCTGAAACAATGAGTATTAGAACTTCTCCTTAATTGGCTAACCAATGAAGGAAACCCTGATGATGCTGAAGTATTTATGGTAATTCAGAAACAGACTTGAAAGACAAAATGCTTCAGTCAGGGACATGGAAGATGGAAGACATGATTAAACTGAAGAACATACAAGCAAATCAGGCCAGTAGCCAACATTGTGTTTATGGTGAAGTGGGGGAATTTCATCAGAAAATGTGTTTCTTTGTCTCATCAAAAGATTCAGCAACCAAATTGGGCGAGGACGCCAGTAACTATTAATTCCTAATTGAGGAGGCCTGTGCAATAAACATATTTATAATTTTGTAATTCTTAGTCCATCTTTGGAACTAATTTCAGTTGTTTATCCCAACTCAAGTAGATCCACCGAATCAACCAATGTAAATTCTGTTTATTTAAAATTTTCATTTATTCAGAATTTAGGGGTTAAAAGTTAGATTTACAGTTTGTTCTTTAGTAGCAAATAAATTGATATGTCTATTGCATTCTCCCTTACAAATTGGAAAATTGAATTGAAAAGATGCAGGCTCATAGGGGAGTGGCATGGAAAGTTATGACCATCTATGTAATTTGGGATTGGGGAATGATTGATGTTCCACATGCTGTTGGACTTCAACTTTCATTAGCCCAATCCAGTTTGGGGAGTAGTGAGGAGCCGAATCATTGATGTCCCTATTAGGCTTGTGCACAAATTCGATTTGGTCGGTTCCCTTCAACCAATCCAGCTTGTTCGGTTGACCATAACAATAAGGGCTCAGCGGCCATTTTTTTTGGCCAAAACTGGCCATGCAACAGCCAGTCACGGCTCCTCCTCTCCTATTTGGCATAATGCGGCATGTGAAGAGGTTGCCACATGCTCGCTCGGGGTTTCCCTGTGAGCCCTGCCTGTTGGGCCAATCAGAATAGAATGCCGTGACATGTCTTACGCAAGCTGTGTCTATTTAATGGGCGAGCATTTGGGTCCTGGCTCTAGAGAGGTGTTTCAATCACTTGCTCTCAGCTTTATTTTTTGACTTGGCTTGGTCTCTATCTAGCATTGAATCTTTTTGATTTTCCCTTATTTTCCTGGTTCTTTTTAAATAGTGGGACTGGGAGTTAGGAAAGTGTGGGACAGGTGTGCTTTTCTTTAAAAATATTTGAGTGGCTTTGAGAGTCTTGAGTCACCCTTTAGCTTCTTTTTCTCCTTCCTCCTCTTCTTCAGAAAATACTCTAAAAAGATAATAATTACTATTAATAATCCCAGCAATCAAACAGAAAAGCCTCATTCTCAGAAAACCACTACCTACCTACCTATCTACCTACCTATAATTTCATTCCTTTGCAAACAAATTCTCTCTGTGCTCTCTGCCTTCTGTCATAATAATAATAATAATAATAATAATAATAATAATAATAAGTATTAGTAATAATCATTTGGCTGCTGCTAGTAGTAAAGAAGAAAGTGTAATAGTGAGGCACTGGGCTGTGTGATGTGGAAGTGCATCTTTACATTTGGCAGGAAGGAATGGTGCCCTGTTGCTGCTCCTGGAGAAGTTACAGGGTGGGGCTAGTGGGGGGAATGTTTTAAAGGAGATTTTATTTCTAAAAAGAAAAATTCTAAAAATTAGAGGATGACCCAAACATTATGAAACTTGGTGGGCTACTAGTGGTAGATGTGTCCTCCAAGTGTGATTATTTTTTTATCCCAATAGCCCTAAAAATAATGGGAAGGAGAGCCCAGGAATCCCCCTCCATTGCCACCAATGGACCGGATCTAGCCGCATTTTTTTTGGCTGCGGACTGAAAAGAGTTATTCGGTTACCCCCTGCCCTCCATTTTTGGGAGGCATGCGAAAACGGATCGGGAGTCTCTCGAAATTTGGCCAGCAGAAATTGATTGAGGTTTGGCCGAAATGCCAAACCTAGTACCTATTACCTCTTAACTCAGGTATCGCATTGCCATCTGAATGTGAAATGGGGCTGTACTGTACTGTCTTGAGTCATTAGCTATTCTTCCCTCAGATGTTAATGATATAATAAGGTGTTACTCTCAGAAATGTCAGAGTTTTATATTGTTTAGATCATTTCTTAAGTGAAAAATGGGTAAGTGATTGCAAGAATCATGTCCAGTCATTGTATGACCAGCAACAAAGCCACCTGTGAAAGCTTAGCTATTACAAATTGAGAGACTGAGAATGTAGAGAGTAGAGAAGAGATAGAGAAGAGTATGAGCAGAGAATGCTGATGGTGAGATTGTGAAGAAAGCAAGAGCTAGAGGAAGAGGAATAGATTCCTGTAAAAGCTTAAGGAAGGTTTGCTGGAATATTGGGATTGATGGATTGAAACTGTTATTTGTGACTATTGCATAAACATTTACTTTATTGGAAGAAAGTTTGTCTTCTGTGGATTGTATTATTTTTCTCAACGGGGCGCAGCTTCCAAGAAGGGGGTTTGAATGCTTGAAAGCAACCCCAACTATAAAGCAGCAACACAATAGCTGTGACAAGAAACACAATATTATACTCAATAGCAAGATTTAACATGTTACAGGAGGTGAGAGTTGAGTAAATATCAAGAAGGTGGTTCCAAAGTTTAACAAAAATGGCAAACATTCAATGCCAGGATGAGTCAACTCACTTGTTTTTCAAGCTTGAAGAATAGTTCAGGGGAGTCTGGGGGTTTAGTATATTTTTCCCACTCCAATCTAAAATGTCTAAAAGAGTGTTTGAGATGGAAAGGATTGGGCTGTGATGACTTGGAAGAGATTTGTCAGAGGACTTTTTGTTTGTTTGTTCTCACTACTAGGAATGGCAATCAAGAATCTAGCAGCTATTTTATGTGGAGCCAGATTTTCACAGAAGTGCCTTCCTTGGCTTGTCAGTTAGTTGGAGATTTTCTCAGATAGAAGGATGTTTGCTAAACTCTGCAGTGGTTGCTTGAACACGTATCGTATCTCAAGGGAGTGGAAAGAACAGATTTGCCTGTTTCTGATTCTGGCATTGCTTTACAGATAAGAACATTGGCTTTCAAATTGCCTTTTATATGCATATTTATTTAGAAAAACTTCCAGGGCTTTACATTGTGAAGCTCACACTATACTGCACACATAAAATTGAGTTTTCAGCCAATTATTTTTTTCAGACTATCAATGCTTTTTTACCTACATATTTTAAAGGAAGGGGCCCAAGGGATTTTAGAACACAGATATTTGTGAGGTTTAACGTGTAGATTTCCCAATATAAATCCATTAGAAATTTTGGTTCTTGAAAATGAGGGAATAAGCTTGAATCCAAATCAATTTTAGTAGTTTATCTGGGTTAATCCAAGATGATCTGCTCACTTTGTAAAAAAATTTCCCCCTTCTACTTTGTTTGAAGTCTTCTCATCTTCCTGGTGGCTCAAGCAACTAACATTACAGTTACTGTTGAAATTTCTTTAAAAAAGATATTCCCCCAAATTAATGTTAAAGCTTTTCCCAATTTGAATGCTTCAATCTTAGTCTTATGACCAAAAGAAACCACTTGGGACAACAAATGGAATGATTTCTAAAAACGGAGCATTTTCTTCCTCCGAAAGAAAGGAGAAATGAGAGTGCTGTATATTGTTTTGTGCATATGACAATATTTATTATAATTGTTCTTGCTCTTGGAAAGACCTGCATTGCTAGCAAATATTTCTGTAGAGGATGGACAAAACATGCTTCACCAACATTAGCTTCAAATAAATGTGAGACTTGGTGACTACGTGGCCACAGTCAAGCAGCTGTC